GATTCTAAATGAGCCAAAAAGCAGAGACAGGACCAATTGTCAAAATTTTGGTGTCGATCATTCGATTTCATCCTGGACACTACAGAAAATGGGCTTAAAGTGTTAAAAAGTGAACTTCTCCTTTAAGGCTCTCTAAACTTCCATCCATGTATTTTAATTGGAGATTGAGCTGTCGTACTGTGAGCCGTGCTGTCAGTGCAGGATTATTTTCTGCTCTACAGTTTATCCTTCAAATCAGTAACTCCAGGCAGATAATTTTTCATTCTAAAGAGGACTGCTTTGTCTGCTGTGTTTTGGATCAGATGACCACAGCAGGACCAATGGACTTGCAAAGATCTGCATCGACTATGAGGGAGAAGTGCAGGGGAGTCAGAGGAAACCGGCCAACCTGATGGACGCTTTGGAGAGAGGTGACCGACACTGGGAACAGGACAGTGAGGCTGCTGGAGAGAAGGTAGCGACGTCCATCAGTAAGACAGACCGAGCCTGAGGTTTGTCGTTTAAAATGTTTTGTCTCTTTGCTTTTGAAGGCAAGCCGCTTGTCCACACTGTCCCTTCAGTATGATAAGAGGATGGAGGACGAGCTGCGGGGTGGGAAGCGTAAAATAAAGTTGATTCACGAGCAGGTATGTTTTTTTAATCTTATTTTAGACCTGAAGTATTACATTAATGACATCCTCTGTCCTCCATCCCTGTGGTCGCGGTCATGCTGCTTTACAACATGACATTACAAATTGAAAAAAAGGTGCCTGTCAGGCCAAACAAAGGCGTGGAAGCGGTTGGGTGTGAGTGCATCTGCACATGAACTGAGAGGAACAGAAAGAGAATCTGTAAAAAAGGAAGGATTAGATCCTGTGATTGTTTTAAAAAAGCAGGAGCTTACTCGGGCTGGACGATTATGTCAAAAATCAAAGCATTATTTTCAACCGATATTGCATTCTTCTTTTTGATTTTCCTTTGCAGTAAGTTAAAGCATGTGGATGTTTCTCCCCAGGTTTCCATTCTTTTCGTGGCCTTTAACAAAATAACACAAAAGTCCATTTTTGTGTAACTTTACTGTAACCTTAGCATAAAATAATCTGACTTCTATCATGCATGGATCTATTTGCTACCTGCAACTCTCTCTTTCCTTCTGTGTGGCAGTGAACTGACTGAGTGTATTACCGCCACCTAAAGGTCTGAAGGGAGAAATTTTATTCTCTCTTGTTAAATGTAATGTCCCTATAAATGAATGCCTCTGCAATTTGAAAATTGCGCTTTTCTAAATTGCATTTATATTGGAAATGTAATTAACTGCCCAGCCCTAATGGAGAGCCAGAGGGAGAGGGCATCTGACCAACTCCAAGCTAAAAGGTGAGGAATGCTGATTATGAGAAGAACCAGATGAAACTAGCAGTGTTCCTTCACAAACAGCCATGTTTTTTCACTTGTCTGTTTTTTTTTATCTCAGGTTTCATCCTAATTTCACAGTAAAACTTAAGAATTGGAACCTGAATCTACGTTCTGTTCTAATTTTAGTGCTGAATTTGTGCCCAGGAGAGACGTGAATAAAACATGTAAAAGTTTGAAGAAGTTTTCAGTTTTGGTGTCTTGATTTTTTTGTTTTGTTTTTTTTTTAGGACGGCTTAGATTAGAGTTTAGTCAAATGGATTATTTCTACATATTTTTATAGGTCAGTTTCCATAAATCTGTTTTCTCATTATGGTGTGATCCGTCTCTTGTTCTAACTTGTTCCTAAAGAAAGTCAGCGTCTCTGAGGATGTGCCAGAGGAGTGTAAAGCCGGCAAGGCCAAACAGTTCCTGGCAGACATGAAGAAGACTCTGAGCAAGGTGAGCTTTGACCGCATCGTTGAGGCTCTGCAAACTTACAAGAAGACGGACGACCTGGACATCCTGCTGACTGAGACGGCTGTTTTAGCGGAGGACCCCAACACTCACAGCCTGCTGCGAGGTGTGTTTATGTACTGCTAACATGACTCAGGGTCGCTCACATGGAGGATTTCAGTCTCTAAATCTCTCTCCCTGCTTTTCTCTCTCAGGCTTCTACCAGTTTGTTCGGCCGCATCATAAAAAATCATTTGATGAGAAGTGCCAGGAGCTGACCGGACAGGGCTGCGGATACAAACCAGAGCACTCGCTGTCGAAGGATGAGAAGAAAGCGGCCATCCTGCAGAGCGGTAGGACACCCTGATCCAGAAACCAACAAATTAGTAAAAGGTTTTCCTCACCTCATTTCCAAACATTTAAGATTGGCACCAAATAAAATCCAATCACGATGCTGAATCTGTATTTAAAATTAATAAGTATTTTCTTCATGTTATCCTTTGCTGAGACAAGTTAAGACTTATAAAGTGTTGGATTTTAGTGGCTGCGTCCTCCAAGGACCCGGTCTACTTGCACTGGAGGAGTCCAGCTATGGATTCAAACAGGTCCGGCTTTCACCGCCTGTACACTCTGCCGCGTAGCAACAGTGACAGTTGACACACAAAGGAGACAAAGAATAGATGATGAACTCATCACTACTGTTCTGGCCTGGGGACTAATAACATTGTAGAGGAGCTTCAGCAGCAGTACCGTCGACTCAAATATCAGATTTATAGTCCCCTTACTGCAGAAATATTGGAATCTGGGCTGAAATGTCATTTACACAGCGACAGATAAAACCTTTAAATAAAACCAAACATTACCCGCCACATATCTGACTCAATAACCATTTAAAACAACTATTTTCATTCATTTCAGATGAAACTATTCACATACTTGTATTATATTAAACTGCACTGACCACACTTCACCACTGTTCAGCCATCTCCCTTTTTCCTCTGAGCACGAATCAACCGGCTGGCTTGGACTCACAATTAATCCTGGGATATCCAAGGCTACGTAGGAATCACCGCGCCTGTCCTTCAAAACGGGAAAAAAGAAGGCTGCATTTGTCGGACGCATAACGAGGAGTCTTCCAATCTGAACAGGCCACGTCGCCGCACTATGATGTAATCAGCTGACGAATCTGGCCTTCAGAGGACGCAGCTGCTGAATTTGAACTCTGCATGAAAGTACAACATCCTGCTGCCATTTAACAGCAGCCAGGAGCTGAAATTATAATGCCCTGTTAGGATGTCCAGATTGTTCTCTTCTATGATGATCCTGCATCCTGAAGTTTTGCATTTTCTGCCTTGTGTTTGTGCTGGTGAGCTTTTAAGCAAGTACTTAGCCCAGAGTTTTAATCAATGTGTGCTTGGCGGAAGGAGGCTCCGTATCAGCTGTCTGTTTTCTTCTTAAAGGGCCAAAATCATGCTATAATCCTGTACAAAGAAAAATACCAAATAACATTTGATCTCGTTAAAATAAGGTTATATTCGCCTTGCATCCATCCTGATTGTGTTTTAATAGTCCTGTTTTACTGTAAATAGAATTCCTGCACCAGGCACAATGAGCAGATGTGGCGCCATCTACTGGCAGAACCACATAACTATCAGAAAGCCAGATAGGAACAGAACCCCCAAACAACTTAATTAGGCATTTGGTTAGTTCTATATTACCAAAATTATTATATATATTTTTTAACAGTGGTCTGTCTGGCGATGTGGCAATAGGAATAATTGTCTTGATGCCAAAAAGAGCCCAACAGATTTTACATCCTAATCAGTGAAACTAAACCAGATGGTATTTGATTCTGAATATCACTAAAAGGTGCAGATTTCCTGACATTATTATCACTCAGTCCAGTTTGTATTCCTTCCAGCTGAAGAGCGGCAGGCGGCCGGGCCTCTGAGCCTCTGTCAGCTCGACACGCAGCAGCTCAATCAGGGAGGACGCCACCTGAGCCAGCAGGGATTGAAAGCAGCTCCTGCAGGTAGGAGACGTTTATCTGAAAAAGCCCCCAGAGGACCCCCCCCAGCGCTCACTTAAAGTTCTTCTAACCAGGTTCTGATCCAAAGAATGAAGTCCACACAGCTTTCCTGGCCGATGTGAAGAAAGCTCTGGGGGCTGAGAAGTCGGCTCAGCTCTTCCAGGCCATCCGCAGCTACAAGAAGACGGACAACTACGATGACTTGGTGGCGACGGTGGCCAGCCTGTTCACAGAGAGGGAGGAGAACTTCAACTTCCTCATCAGTATGTTCCCCTGCTTCCAGCCCAGAGCTCCTGTTTTGTGAAGGTTTGAGCTCTGAACCAGAATGTTCTGTGTTGCTTTTAAAGGGTTCAGCGTGTTTGTTCGGCCTCATCATAAGAAGAACTACAGAGAGATGTTGGACGCTCTGATGGGTCAGCCAAATTCTGCCACCGATAGTCCGACTCTCAGCGAGGAGCAGCAGAGGCCAGGTCAGGACCAGTCAGTGGTCTGTTTCTTAGAGGAACATGTTTGTCTTGCTGTAATCTGGACTCAGGTTTCACTTTCTCCATCAGAGCTCCAGCTGGCAGCTGAATGTTCTCCATCTTATGTTTTTTTTTTTTTTTTTTTTTTTTTTATTTCAGCTCTTCCGTCGTCTCCTCTCAAGACCCAAAGCAAGATTTCCAGTTTTTTCTCCAGCAGCGAAAGAAAATAGTCAGTCTGGTTCTAAAAAAATGACTTTTCTTTGAGATAAATGTTCCTTTTTTTTAGTCATGCTCTTCAGCACCAGTCAGGCTGAGTCTTCCTCTGTGAGGGAAAGAAAAGAACATGAAGGTTTTCATGTTTTCTGCCTAATTAAAAAGAGGAAACCCTCTGAACTTTACAGTGGACAACCCTGAAACTTGGAGCGTCTTTCAGCAAACGTTTCCTAAAATAGGATTCCCATTAATCCGGAGCTCCGGGGCTGACATGTGGAGGGCTTCCCTCCTGGCTGTTTTCGTGTGTGATGATCCAATCAGGTTTCTCCACCAACCAGTCAGCACTTCTGTTAATAACAGAGATGTTACAAAACAGCAGCTCATATTTTTCTCCCCCAGTTTTTGTCTGCTGTGTCAACAAAAACTCTGATTATGATTTTAAACTTTTCTTTTTAAAAAGTGAACTTCCAACACATAAGAACCGCTGAACCAAACTGTTTCAGATATGAAACATCTGTAAGATGTTTTAAATAAATGTATATATGAAATGTATGTCTGATCTGTCTTCAAATAAAGCCATGAAATGCTTTTATGGAATATAACTACTGATTTTTTTTTTCTTTTCTGTTTTTTCTGCCTATGCTCAGCACTTATATAATGCTTAACATACTTAAATCTTTATGTACAAAGCCCAGTGTATCAATATTGTATAAGGAAAATGGAAATTTATTTTTTCTTAATTTTCTGTGTAAATCAAAATATAGAGGGAAGAAGTGTGGAAGACTTGGGATCAAAGTATCAATAACAACAATCTTCTACAAAGGCCCATGTTGGAGCACAATGCCTTCAAAAGGTTTTGAAGGAGGATCAAAGGGTTAAAGGTAGAAATGTGATTATTTCCAACAGAAAATGGTCTTTCTGCAGGAGAAGGATCTTAAACATGGTCAAAACAATGTAGAAATGTTAAGCAGACACAAATCCTTCAAATCAAAGCTGAGTAGCAAAAATCTTCCTTTGTGCTGCTGTCATTTTAGAGATACCGGTATTAATGAAAGTTTCTAGGGGTCAACAAAGGTAAATCGTTTCCTCCACATTAACCACAGCAAACAAAAATATTGTTGAAAATAAAACTGATTTTGCAATGTTCCACTTTGAACTGCTTCCACAATTTTCAAAGATAAAAGAGAAACTGTTTCTAGATTAAAAACAGTTCCTATTAAGACGTCCTGAAGAGGAGCTACGATGAATGGCTGAAACCAAAGCTAACTGGAGGCATAAACACTAGAAGTGAGTGTGAACAGGCCACTGTTATTGGTGAACATGTTCAATGTTACTGACATGGTTGAAAACCAGTAGATAAGATGATCCATGAACCACAGACAGCACTGATGTTTAAACATTTGTTTATATTTATTAGCAATAAATATATTTATTTTGTATTTATTAAGCAAAATCTTGCCTGTCTTTATTTGGGAAACTAGGCTGTTTGTGCTTGTTTATGTTCCCGTTGATCAGTACCGAATAGGTTACAATAATTTCAGCCACCAATCAGTGCAGAACAGGAATTAAACTACGGTAATAGCTTCACCATCCATGGTGGACTATGGGACCTTAGCTGAGACAGAACCGACGGATTTCATTGGTGCCCCTGTAAGAATCTGTAAAAATTTCATTAAATTTGTTTTGTTCTGTGTTGTAATTTAAGATTTAGATCATATTACCTATTTTTTTTTTTTTTTTTTCATTCAGATCCCCATTCATTTACAGCAGGTAAAGTGAGAGGGATGCAGACGAAGCTCTACTATTTAACATTGAAATGGCCTTGAAACCTTCAAACGGCTGAATTTTCTATAAAACACCTGAAAGTGTCACCCTGGACGTTGACTGGAGGAAACCCTCCGATCTCTTTAAAGTTCGGGACTAATGTGTTCAATTGTGATCTTATCATAAAAGGCAGAACACCCGGGGAACAGTTTTTCCAAACTCTTGGGGACTTAATGGAATCCCCTCCCCCCTTTTAAATCTCCGGAGTTTCCCGAGGCTCTTTGAACGCAGCATACGTCAAAACCTACGAGAAGCTCGCGATACTTGGATTAGCACATCCCGGTACTTCCATCATGGCAGGCAGTAAGTTGGTGTTAGAAGGCAGAGTGAGTATAAAAAGCTTTATTTTAGGCCTCAGCGTCGTCCTCATCCCGCTCATCAGAACCTGGTTCGGACACCTGGACTGGGTCTTCGATTATCTGACAGAGACTCCCGGGAAAATTGCAATTTGTGTCCACATAGCGGCTATAAACGGCCTTTTGCTTGTCATATACAGAGGACCCGTGTACAAGGTAAGCAGAGACGGTGGTCTGCATGCCGGGGAAGTGTTGAAGCCAGCCCTGTTTCCCAGTTCCTCCCTGGTGTTGGGAGGACTGGAAGCTTCATTCTGTCGCAGCTGAATACAGGATTAGCAAAGCTTCAGCTCAGCGCTGTTAATCCTGTTAGAGGAGAAGACACAGCTGCTGCTGCAGAGAAAACTAAAGCTTGAATATGAGGAACTCATTGTTTTATTCTTTCCCAATAGGCTGTACGGAAGCTCAGATAGGACATCATCAAATAATTCGATACAAACAGCAAAACAAACTTTTTTTCACCTTCTGATTGTTTACATTGCTTCCAAAGTCCTGATACTCCGATTGGAGGATGATTGGTTCTCCCATCGACCCTCTCATTCTCATGATCCCATTATTCTAGGTTTCCAGACCAATGACCTGCTTTTTGGTAACATTTATTAAAGTCAAACCCAACCTTTTCATCCATTAGACCAAGAGCAGAACATTTAAACCTTACTGAGGTCAAAGGTTGATCTCCTGGTAGGTAGCACAGAAGTTTTTGTTGTTGTTCAAGTTTTTTTATAAGTCATGTGACTTTATTGAAAGATTCACGCACCCATATACTATTTTTAGCTTTATTGATCAGGACACTAATTACAAGTTCAAACAAGAATATCCACTTTGTATTATTGCCAAAAAAACAAAAAATAATTATATACAGGAAATCAAAATAACTTTAACAAGGCAAAAGAAGAAAAAAACAAGCATTTGCATTAAACCAGTGGAAGCATATCGATCCAATCTCCAAAAGTTAAAAAAATAAATAAATAAATGACACTCATTTCAGTTAAGGCCGACTGGGGTTCAAGAAGACAGAAGCAGACAGAAAAAGAAGCATAGATACAAAAGGCAACTGTCAACCAGCTCCACAGGCGGCCCCGTTCAGGAAACACACAGCCAGGCAGACGAGCTCCAAGCCAGCTCCCATGTCAGAGGATAAAGAGAGCACATCCAGCCAGTCACAGTCAGAGAAACAGGACTACACTGAAAAACAGGCCAATCTCCAGCATCTATAAACAAAGGTGTTGATGGCAGCAGCACAGCTGATATTTCTCTCCAGGGTGGAGTCACAGCCATACAGGAACAGACCAGATGAAGCTACTATGAGAAAAAGCAGAGAGAGCAGAACGTTAGTTTAAATAGAATGATGGAAAAAGGGGTCCCTATGTCCTCCAGAAATCTAAGCCTATAGCAGCATAACTATAGAGATAGCTCAGGATAACCAGAGGACTAGATCTATAAGCTTTATTAAAAAGGAATGATTTAATCCTACCAGTAAACAGACATTGTGACATGTCTCTACAAATGTTTTGTTGCAAATGTGTTGATTTGTGTCCAAAATTGTTGGCTAATGAAGATAATGATGAATAAAAGATTTAAAGTTCACACTCACCGATAGATGTGTACCGACACTCTATGAACTCGTCACATGTACAAGGCTGTGAGGGCAGCTACTTCCAGTACAATGCTAACAGCAGCTACTTCCAGTACAATGCTAACAGCAGCTACTTCCAGTACAATGCTAACAGAAGTCTCCTGACTGTGGCAGGTTGCTGTGAGAGCCTGCTTCCTGGGAGTCACGTTCGGCTGCGGCCTGATCATCAGCTTCTCTGACACCACCTGGACGCACTTTGGCTGGTATGTATTAATATGAGCTCTTTGTTTGGTTATGGGTTGATTTTCGTCTCATTCAATGACCTCACATGTTATCAGGACGGCTGACGGTAGGATTGCTTCATATGTTGAGAAGTGAATGACGGCTTGGATTATATTTTATTGTTTGAGTTGCATATATTCCCTTTTTATGGAAATGTTGGATGGGCCTCCTACATTATTTTACTATAGATGCTGAACTGAGCAGGAGAACTGATATTAGATTGTTTTCCTACATTCTCCAGCATTTTTTTTCTGATTTGTTTGGATTACTGTCCTCCACTCAAATCCTTCCACTTTAACAGATCTTTCCTCCTACTGATGTCTATCAGAGCCAGCATGTCCTCAGGGTTTTATCAATGTTTTTTGCCTCTTTTCTCAGCAGTAAATATGTGTCCCAATGTGTCTTCTTGCAGGTACATGTGCTCACTGTCATTCTTCCATTACTCTGAGTACCTGGTGACGGCCGTCATTAACCCTCGCAGCCTGTCGCTGGACTCCTTTCTGCTCAACCACAGCGTGGAGTACACACTGGCTGCTGTGTCTTCATGGCTGGAGTTCACTGTGGAGAAGCTCACTGTTCCAGGTACTTTAGGCGGCGGGTTGAGCTGCCTTTCCCTGTTGGGTCCAATTTTGGGTTTTATTGAGATGATATTTTTCCTTCCAAACTTCAACCTGAAGGATGAGATGAATTGCATCCACACAGCTGCCCTAAGTACCATTGCTGGCGTGGAGTTGGATTGATTTATCAGGGGGGGTTCTTTATGCAGCGCAGTCAGTTCCAGGTGTTTATATGCAGTGAATATAATCTCAGTGCCTGATAAGTTGGCCTAACTGACCTCAGCCTGGGAAGGATCTTTATTTGGTGGATTCTGTTTGGATTTTTTACTTGAAATGTTGAAGCTTTTGGTGGCAGGAAAAACTAAAATCAGATAAATGAGGAGAATCTGTCGATGTGGAAGTTTAGCCTACTTTTAAGAGGCTTCCTAAGATGTTTTTTTTCCAAAGCGATGTGACCTTTCCTGTGTCCGGATCTCACCCCTGTGTCTCCTCACAGAGCTGAAGCATCTAAACTGGCTCAGTTTGGTTGGACTGGTCATGGTGCTGTGCGGCGAGGCGCTGCGGAAAGCAGCCATGCTGACGGCCGGCTCCAACTTCAACCACATCGTCCAGAATGAGAAAGCCCAGAGCCACATACTGGTCACCACTGGGGTCTACGCCTACTTCAGACACCCGTCCTATGTGGGCTGGTTCTACTGGAGCATAGGAACTCAGGTGAGATTTTTTCCTCTGATCCTACCATTAGAATTAAGACGGACATTGTTTCCATGACATTTTTCAGCGCTAGACCAATTGGCTGTGTGATCTCAAGTGTTTGTTTCATGTCCTGAAAGAAGTGCTTTTTTTGGCAAGTTTGCTTCTGTATTCCTGAAAATATTGTTTACCCATAATTCCTTTCAGGTTCATATTTTGCTCGATGAATATTGTAAAAGTAGTTTGGTCTGAGACAGAATCACGATGGATTTACAGAGATTTAGGGGATTTAATGCAAATATTAACTTAGTTTTTAAATCTAAAGTATTTTAGCAGATGAAAGAGAACCATCCAGCTCCAGTCTATTGAGTTTTAAAAATGAAAACTCTGGATAGAGGAATTAACAGTCTATATAAAGCTGGCAGCTACTTGCATAACAAAACTTAAGTAACTTTTTTTGTTTGACCTTATAATGAACTTTCTTATCTAAAGCTTAATTAATATTAGATACAGAAATCACTTTTTCTGGTTCTGCTGGAGGTTCCTTCCTGTTTAAAGGGAGTTTTTCCTCTCCACTGTCGCTACAAACATGCTTGGTGTGAGGGATTGTCTTCGTGGCGATGAGTCGATGCAATCAGTTTGTTTTTCTTTCATAGAAAACTTTGAACCAATCTGACTGGATGATCTGGTTGAATTGTCTCAGTAAACAGCCTTGAGATGACAGGTGTTGTGAATTAACGCTATAGAAATGAAACTGAATTGAATTGGTTAGTTTGCTGCCATGTTGTCTCGATTGCTGATGAGCATCTGCTCCTGCAGGTCATGCTGTGCAACCCCGTCTGCATCGTGGGCTACACGATAGCCAGCTGGCGCTTCTTTCGGGAGCGGATAGAGGAAGAGGAACTTTCCCTCATCCATTTCTTTGCTGAGGACTACGTGGAGTACAAGAGGAAGGTTTCCACCGGGCTGCCCTTCATCTCTGGCATCCGCGTCAATTAGCACCCAGATCGGACACTGAGCCCAACAGACTGAGAGCTCCAAAGCAGGCCAGACCTGGTGGTGATGTGTTGTCTGCTGTAGCAGCTGCTGCCCCCTGGAGGTGAGCGTCTGCCACTGGCTGAGGTTCTGTAGCACCAAGAGCCACCGAGGCAGCTGGGCTGCTCCTTTTCTACCAACATCCAGTATCAGAACAGAGAACCTCAGATGTTCACGTCTTTCTACTCTTCCTCCTTTCATCTCACCTGTTTCTGTCTGCATGCTTTCACCATGGTTACCGGTTTCTGCCCATCTGTTGGGTTTAAGGATCAGCGCTTTGCCTGGACCCTTCGGTGTCATAGGTCCGGTTCTTTCTTTTCTTTTTAACAGATGTTTCATAGAAAATTAGCAATATAAATGTTTCTAAAGTGAATGAGAACCCAATTAAGGTTTTTAGATGATCTGTTGATGTATGTTTTCTACAGCCCATCAGGATTTGGCATAAAACCAAGATCCATATTTATAACAAGGACTTTAAAAGACCAGGATGTTGTTTTTCATTTAGCATCAACATGAAGATATTTATATACTGTTGGAGTCGTGGTGTATCGTGCACTTTCTCATTTTAGCATATTGCTCTTTTATTCTATGTTCCATCACTCTGAGCAACCAGAGAGCTGAGCCGTCTGGCTCTGGCTGTGGAGAAGGAGAAGAGAGTCATGCAGAATATTGATTTTTTTATTTTTTTTTTTTAAGAGATCATCCTGCTTCTCTTTTCAGCTCATTATTTCTTACTGGAATAATTGTTTACAAGAATAGTTAAAGCGGAAAGAGTGAAATCACCATAAAAAAGGACCAATGGGTAAAAGTGGAGTTCCTGTTTCATATTTTTTGGTCATTTCTGGTTCTGGGAGGCTGAAATGTGTAAAAGCTTCCTGGAGGTTTATGTTTTTTAGATTTTTTTTTTCTTAATTTTCTCAATGAGAAGATCGGGGCAGAATAGATAAATGGTTTAAGTAGAGTGATTTCACCTCCTGATCTTCACCTTTTTATAAAACTAGCGCAGAACAGGAGATGATGTCATACAGGGATTTTCGTTAATCTCTTAAACTGATAGTTTGACTGAACTGGTGTAGGAACTGGGAGCTGTGGGAATTCCCTTATAGTGCTCAGGGTTTGGGTCTCATCATCTGGTGTCGTGTCATTTCCACCTCATCGGCATCATATTGGTCCACAAACCCACCACATGATGGCGCTTCGTGGTGCAGGCTGTTCCAATCCTCAAAGCCACTGTCGTCATGGAGACGTTTTCATCTGAATGTGATTCAGGCTGTAGAAACGTGATTACATTTATTTTTAAACATTGAAGCAGCTTTTTTTTCTTCTTTTTACACTGATCATTTATGACAGGACTCCTCATCTGAACCACTGTAGCACAAACCTGGACATGCTGGTGTTTCTCTAACGTCTCCTAAATCCTCAGATTGAATGACGGGGAGCAGCCAGGCCCAAGGGGCCCTGAGGAAACTACCGAGAGTTTTTTACAGCCGCAAACAGACCAAAGTATTAAGCTGCAGACGTTTCTAGGTGAATTCATGTTGCATTAAAGCATCTTAACTCTGTATTTTTCTTTAGGTGTACAAATAATCGTAGTCTGGATGAATTTGACAAAGACTCGACCTCCTCTCTTTATGTCTGATCATGAAGTCTTCCCTCGTAAGTTTCTAAATCTGAAACCGAGATTATATCAAAAGTTGGATGACAGAGGTTCCCTACAGGCAGCCGCCGCCTGTTCATGGCCGCCACACAGTCCTGCTCAGAACATAGATTTTCAGCCTGAGCAGGTAGAGCTTTGTTTTCTGCAGCAGGTGTGAAATATGTGACATTTATAGCCATGGTCAAAACAAAGTACCGCCTGTTTTCATTCCTCTGGTTGAGAAACAATCGGGTCTAAAACCGGTGGTTTCCACATTGGCGTTGGTATCAGCTGTATGATCAGTTGATTTCTATCTAAGCCAGAATGGGGAGGTTTCTACGACTCTTTAAAGTGGTTGTCCTTTTTATTTTTTTCTCTCTTTGTAAAGAGGTGACCTGCTGTCACTAATGCAGGGGTCTGCAGCCTTGGACCTTTCACAGAGACCCTTCACAAGACTCTTAAGTAAATCCTAAGGATTTTTTTTTCAACCTTCTATTGAATAACTTTTAAATGTATTAGAGAATGACATGAAACACAACAGTAACATGTTTTAGTGTAGGTGCAATGATAAGCAGTTTTCTGGTCCTGAAAAAGCCGGATATGGCAAATCTAATTTTGACCGATATTGATTTTTGTTCATCACAGTTTCTATAAGGTCACATTCTACCTTCTATGTTTAAAAAAAAAAAAAGAAAAGAACAGTAATTGTTTTATCTGAACAAGTATAAAAGTTAAATTAAAGTACAATTTTAGAACACAGCCTTTGCAGAATGGATAAGATCATTTTTACATCAATCTCCCAAATGAAGGAAATAAAGGCTGACTGATCAAACGTTTTTTTTTTTTATCTATTTCTCTGGTCATTCGGTTGGAAACAATAACATTTGTTACAGTTCTTTCCACTTTCCACCAAATTTTTTTTTTGATTTTGTTTTATTTTTTTTCATCAGAAAAAAAAAATAGCATCTGTTTGGGTTGTGAAGGTTGCAGACCCCTGAACTAATGATTATGACTGGAGCTCTGATCGAAGCTGGTCCATTATTCTTACATCTGTTAAATTTCTGGAGCAAAGATGGATGACAGGAGGAAGCCCAGGCTCTGCTGCCAGGGTTTAGTTTTTTTTACCCCCCTCCCAAAATGTTTTCTCAGGTTAGATTGGAGCAGTTCTAGTCTCCAAATCCAGTCTGAGTTTTGAGGATTCCTTCGCCACCGCGTCGCTTGGTCTGTTCTCCAGTGCAGACCTGACTATCTGCTAAGATTCAACAAATCCAGAATTCAGGAGCTTTGATCCAGTTTGACCAAATGGAAGTCATGTTTGATTAAAAGTGATGTTTAATGTTTATCATATAATGTGACACATGTAGCTTTTTGGCACAGTGCATTGTGGGAGATGATAAAAAGGTGTCTGTGTGCACACACACAGATCTTATGCTGCATTTGAACTGTTTAGAGAATCTTTATGGATGGTTTTCCACTTTAACTGAAAACTGCATTTATTGGGCACTGCTTGTATGAAATAAAGATACGATTATTATCTAAACGACTCTGTCCTTATTTACTGGAATATTACTGCTGTGTTTGGGACGTAATTGCAGTAGGTGAAGTCGATTAAAATGTACCCAAAACTAAAAGGCATCTACTAAAAGAAGTTGAAAAGCTCAATTGTTTTGTCCAGTAAGTATAAAAATATATACATTTTTTACAGATAGCATATAAAATTTTAAGTCATTATTTGCTGTAACTAACTCCCACAAAAAAACAGACCACACAATTCAGCATCTGAAAATCATTGTTACAGCCGCTGCCACACATGTTGCTCTAAGATGGAGTCTAATGTTATTTTCCATTCTGAAACAACTACATATTTTAAACTTTTTAATTTAGGGCTGAAAAATTTAATCCGATTGTTATTAATCGATTACTGAAATAATTATCAACTAAATCCGTAATCGATTTATTAACTGGAGTATAGAGACTGTAAAACAGTCCTTCACTACTCAAAAAAATTAAAGCAACACTTTGTAATCAGAGTATAGCATCAAGTTAATTAAACTTCTGGGATATTGGTTTGGTCAGGTAAGTAGCAGAGGGGGTTGTTAATCAGTTTCAGCTGCTGTGGTGGTAATGAAATTAACAAAAGGTGAACTAGAGGGGCAACAATGAGACGACCATCAAAACAGGAATGGTTTTACAGGTGGAGGCCACTGACATTTTTTACCCCTCATCTTTTCTGACTTTTTCACCAGTTTTGCATTTGGCTAGGGTCACTGTCACTACTGTTAGCATGAGGCGCTACCTGGACCATACAGAGGTTGCACAGGCAGTCCAACTCCTCCAGGATGGCACATCAATACGTTCCATTGCCAGAAGGTTTGCTGTGTCTCCCAGCACAATCTCAAGAGCATGGATTATATTCCAGGAGACAGGCAGTTACTCCAGGAGAGCTGGACAGGGCTGTAGAAGGTCTACAACCCATCAGGAGGACCGCTATCTGCTCCTTTGTGCAAGGAGGGGCACTGCCAGAGCCCTACAAAATGACCTCCAGCAGGCCACTGGTGTTAATGTCTGACCAAACAATCAGAAAGGTGGTCTGAGGGCCTGACGTCCTCTAGTGGGCCCTGTGCTCACTGCTCGGCACTGTGGAGCTCGATTGGCATTTTCCACAGAACACAGGAATTGTCAAGTCCCCCACTGGCGCCCTGTGCTTTTCACAGATGAGAGCAGGGTAACCCTGAGTACATGTGACAGACGTGAAAGGGTCTGGAGAAGCTGTGGAGAACGTTATGCTGCCCGTAACATCGTTCAGCATGAACGGTTTGGTGGTGGGTCAGTGATGGTCTGGGGAGGCATATCCATGGAGGGACATACAGACCTATACAGGCTAGACAACGGCACCCTGACTGCCATTAGGTATCGGGATGAAATCCTTGCACCCATTGTCAGACCCTATGCTGGTGCAGTGTGTCCTGGGTTCCTCCTGGTGCACGACATGCCCGGCCTCATGTGGCGAGAGTATGCAGGCAGTTCTTGGAGGATGAAGGAATTGATACCTTTGATTGGCCCCCAGGCTCGCCTGATCTTAATCCAATAGAACACCTCTGGGTCATTATGTTTCCATCCATCAGCCCTAGTTACATTTTCAGTTGAATTGCATTTTCTTGTTTGATTTATACTAGTCTGGCCATCGTTTGTTGGTTAAATTCTTTGTTTGTATTTGGTCCTCTCCACCCCTAACATGTTAACAGCTGTCTGATCAGCCACTGTTCAAGTTTCCCCCATTGAATGAAATGGGATCAGCATCTTCATGAAGGGAAGAACTCTAAAGTGTCCTATTAGATGTCAGCAATGACTGTGGACCAGAACTAGCAGAAGATACCCTAACCATCTGACTTCACTGGATTTAAAACATTCACTCTGAACTTGATTTCCAAATGAAATGCAAACATTTTGATCTGATATAAACTGGATCACTGGAATATTTTACTCAAGTTTCAATATTCCAGTCAGTCTGATGGAGAGACAAATATAAAGCATTAGAACATTATGAAGTATTAAAAGTTTTAAACGTATGTCAAATTCAAATGTTTTGCTGGAACTTAATGCAGATCAGGAACATAAAGCAGAAGGTGTTTGAATGCATCCCGTTAAAGCTTTACGGAGGGATGCGTTTCTTCCAGGGTTTGTAATCAATTTTAGATACCAGGATCCAATCAATGACTCTGGATTCGATTTTTCACGCATGCGCACCGCGGCTCTTCCTTTCTGCTAGCTTCTCCGCCATGGCGCCTATTGTAAGTCCACTGCGCTGCTATTATATCCTCAATTACTGCTTAATACTCAGTGTGAGAGTCGGAGTGAACGGTTGGAGTGAAAGCTGAAGATCTTTAGGGGGTTTTGTGTGTGAATTTACCGCTGGAGTTCGGTTCTGAGGCGGTTTTACCCAGTTTGTTTCTGGGGCGGCCTGTTAGCAGTTAGCTTCAAACTCACCACGTTGTTCCTCAGCTGAAAGCTTCGAGGTTCCTTAGAAATTACAAAGCTTTAATGTTGTTCTGATTGGCTTAAGTTCATATTTAATTTATAACCTTTTTATCTGAAGCCGGATTCTGAGCCGAACTAAATCAGTAAAACCTTTAAGATTGATCAGAGTCAATATTTGGTTCCCCGATGTTTTCAGTTTTGTCTCCGGATTAAACCGGCCTAAAGTTCAGCCCAGGTTTTGAACACTTGTGCTAATTTTATTTTATTTTTTCTCCTTTTAGCAGAAGAAGCAGAACACCGGCAAAGGTGGGAAGAAGAAGAAGCAGGTTCTGAAGTTCACTCTGGACTGCACCCATCCTGTTGAAGATGGCATCATGGATGCAGCTAACTTTGTAAGTTCTGCTTTCCTGCCGCCCAGCCATGGAATCTAAAGGAGAAAACATCTCTTTATCATTACTGAACTTTATTTCAAATTGGAGAAATGTACCTCTGCAGTGGGCTGCCATTGTGCGGCGCCCGGGTAGCAATCAGATTATATAGGTCTTGCTCAGGAACCCAGAGTGGAGGCGGTGGGATTCGAACCGGCTACTTGCAACCTTCTCAGAGCACAAGCAAATTAAAGGAAAGAGGAAAGGATGAACTGCAGCTGACCCACTACTGATAGCCTCTGGGAATAGATCCAGATGTTAATAATTCAGGGACAAATGTCTTCCTTAAAAGTGATTTTCCAGGATTAAAAACAGGGTTTCCGCGGGTCATTAAAAATCATTAAGTCATTAAATAATTAGTTTTGAAATTAAGGCCTGATTTGACATTAAAATTCATTAAATGCAACGAATTTGGCATTTAAAATGCTTTTTTTTTTTTTTTTTTTTTTTTTTTAAGTTTATAAATCAAATACTTAAACAATATATATATTTGCAAATATATCGCAATATATTTGCGCGGAACTGCTTCCGGTTGATCGTAAAGTATGTTGGGAAAAGAAGCTCGCTGCGGAATAAAGGCTAGAGAATGGGGAAAGTACTAATTTCAACAAAAGTGGCTGGAAATTGAGGAATTGCAGCCTGCTGACGGAAAAGATGAAGGAATTTGCCTTGTATATATATGAGAGTCATGGGTATTTGTTGATGGAATTAAAGTTATTTCTAAGAGCATTAAAAGTCATTAAATCAGAGTTAATCATTTCTGTATAAACCCTGAAAAAGACATGAGGATCAGCAGATCCTGGTTCAGGTCAACATTCTGAGCATGTCACACTATGGTTTTGTTTATTAAAAAAACAAAAACAAATTTTGACCCAATTCATGAGGTTTACAACATGGTAAATGGCATGTACTTGTACAGCGCCCTTTTTTCAAGTCAGGAGACTTGACCAAAGCGCTTTACACTACATTCATTCACCCATTCACGCACACTGATGGTGGCAAGCTACATTGTAGCCACAACGGCCCTTGGGCTCACTGACAGAAGCGGGGCTGCCGTACACTGGCACCACTGGGCCCTCTAAACACCATCAGTAGACAATGCAGGTGAAGTGTCTTGCCCAAGAACATAACGACAATGAAAGTCAGAGCCGGGGCTTGAACCGTCAACCCTTCAATTTCAGGGCAAACTCCATCACCACTGTCGCCCCACATGGACCGTATAGAGCAGGCATCCCCAAAGTCGATCCTGGAGGGCCGCTGTCCTGCAGGTTTTAGAGGTTTCCCAGCTTTAGCACAGCTGATTCTGATGATTGCAGTTCAGCAAAAGCCTGTTAATCAACTATCAATGTGAATCAGCTGTCCTGGAGCAGGGAAACCTCTAAAACCTGCAGCACAGCGGCCCTTGAGGTCTGATTTTGGGGATGCCTGGTATAGAGTATTGGTTATAGGTAAAAATAATTTACACTTTTAATGTCTGTACTTGTGTGAAACATGTAATCCACCCCCTTGGTTCTGTGACCCACGCTGCCGTTCTAAAAGCTGCGTGTATCTCAGCGTTTCCATCCAAATGACTCATGATGTAAAGGAGGAAGCAATCTGTTAAGGAAGGTTTAGGGTGGTGTGACGATCACAAAGCTGCAAACTGAAAGACTAAACACCAGATTTGCCCACATTTTATTAACACGGTCTCGTGTTCATCAAATTGATGGAATTGTTTATCGGTCATTAAAAAAAACTGATCATAACATACTGTTTCCTGCTATTATTGCTAGTTAATGCCTAGGAGAAAGAACCTGCTATGTTTCCTCTGTTTGTTTGTTTTTCTTTGAAAGAGCTTCGGTTCCAGCTTTGTCCCTTTTTATTGAAATGATTCCTAATCTGTGATAAAAACAAAGCTTTGTTTTTAATCTGTAGGAGCAGTTCCTGCAGGAGCGTATCAAGGTGAACGGGAAAGCTGGCAACCTTGGCGGAGGTGTGGTGTCCATTGAGAGGAGCAAGAGCAAGATTACAGTTTCCTCAGAGGTTCCTTTCTCCAAAAGGTAAAGAGAAAAGCCCCGTTTTCTGCTCTGTTTTTGTTCTGCAGGTCTGTCTGGGTCGAACGTTGCCCCAAAAAGAGGAGTCTTATTCTGCCATTATAAATCTGGCAGCGTTAAAAATGTCAGAAAATTACACCAGCAGGACAAACATGAGCAAATGAATACAGTAAGCTTTAAAGGGACATGAAACCCATGGTCTATACTGATGGTTAATATGAACTTTGTCAAAGAGCCGTGCAGTCGTGTTAATCTGTAGCAGGACTAATGGGACGGGGACCCCTGCAGTGATGGCTGGGCTTCTTTAGTCAGCTGTTTATCTCCTGCCATCACTGTTAACATGATTACCTTCTTGCAGAGTGCGGATGTACCTGTGATGTTCTTGTTTAGATGATTTGCTCTTTTTTTTTTTGCAAAAAAAAAAATGTGATTGGGGCGTTCCTCAAGGATCACTGAGGTAAATAGATTAAAACCTTCCACATGAAGCTGCCCACGGTGGGTCCAGCAGATGAGTCTAGAGTTAACATTTAAAAGTTGGCCTTACTTCAGCATAGTTTTGTCTTTAGAGATGGAGCTGCAGGAGGCTTAACCTCACATTTGTTAAAAGCTCCACTCATTTGAAGCCAGTAACTTCCTGAAAATTCTTTGATTGTTCTTTCAAAATAAGTTAATTAGGATCCCAACAGGCTGGTTGGATGAAGGGAGTGAAGATGAAATACTTCAGGAGGTTTTGGTAACATGTTATTATGATGGTGCCTAAAATGCTCTTAGAAAAACATGAGATGTTTATGACTTAAGCTTAAAAATGGCCAATGTCTGCGTTCAGAGCTCAGACTAAAGGTCATCTGTAGGGGCGAGTATTGGCATGGGTTTTTGCGATGCGATACACGTCACAATATGATATCACTATATTGCAGTATTTATTTTGATATTTTTTCAAAAATGAATCTATAGATAAAAAAGAAACCTCTGCATATGTTCACTAGATGATATTGATCGTTCAGTTATTTTGGTATCTACGTTGCTTGGCGTTTGTCAGTCCACGTCTTCCCCTGTGATCGCCTCAACTACAGATACAGCGCTGCAGCACACAGCAAAAGGGCAGCACAGCACTATCTGCCAGAGTGGCGGTAAAAAGGACGCCTATTTTCCCTCAGTTTTTGGTAAAAATGTTTTGCTTTTAAAAAATCGATACTAGGATTTAAAAGATCAATATATTAAGCAGCCAAAAATCACGATATGTTGCCAAAAACACTTTTTATCCACACCATCAGTTATGTGTCCTAGACTTTGTACACAGCCACTCCTGGCTGTTGGAGAGTAGTGGTCTGCTGTGGCATCAATGCAAACTTCCTTCTGCCTCATGCCTATAGGCAAGGCATTTTAGCCCAAATTGTCTGCCTATTTGGGTTTCAGTGAACACATGTGGCGTGTTTGGTCTATTTGGCTTCATCTCATTAGTATGGAGTTCTGTTTCCTTCATTTTGTGCTCAGTAGTATGAGGGAATGTCCTACTGGAAGGTAGGGAACAAAATCAGATTCTGATTTATCTGGAAGGTTCAAAATCCATAGAGGTGTCTAATTATCATTGTGGAAAATATATTTTTTGGAAAGTAGAAAATAAATGTTCAGTACTTCCATGAGAGCATCAGTAGCTATTGATCCACTGGAGGATGTGAGTAGATGTAGTTTATGATGCTGATCAGGGTTGGTTTGGAGCTACAGCTGTGGAGCGCTGCAAAGAAGAGATTAAAGGTTTTATACTTGTTTTTTGGGGTTTTTAGTTTTTTAGAAGAACTACTTGATATGGTGAGTCCATTTGGTGAAAATCCTGGTATTCCTGTCAGACATTATTTCTGCTTGTCCCACGGAGAAGCTCCTTGTGAAAAATCCTTGTTTTTAGATTTGACCTCTCTGCAATCAATTTAAGCTTTTCACTCTTTTTGCAGATACCTGAAGTATCTGACGAAGAAGTATCTGAAGAAGAATAACCTTCGTGACTGGCTGCGTGTCGTTGCAAACACCAAGGAGAGCTACGAGCTGCGCTACTTCCAGATCAATCAGGACGAAGAAGAGGAGGAGGATGAAGATTAAATTGGCTGATGTTGTAGATTTAAATAAATTTGTTTACAGTCCAAAAGTCTTGTCTGTGATGTTTTAAAGTTGATACCAGCCGTTCTGAGACGTTTTACTCGGCCTTTAACCTGCAGCCAAGTTGCTTGATCGCCTGATGGGACCTTAAGGAACACAGATCTAAACCATGTAGAACCAACCTGTAGTGATGGGTTGTTGGGGTGTCATGAAGCCTTTCTACCACTGATCTCTATTCACTGGATTACTGATAGCCTGTTGGTGGTACAGGGTTGAAGTGAAGCAACCTGCCGCCATATTGGTACTCCCTTGTTAGACCAGTCGGAATGTAAATATGTGCGCCACGGCATTGAACACTGTTGTCACTTTCAGGGGACACAAACACTTTTTATAGTATAAGTAGATAAGTAGTTTAACCTATAATTTAAAATAAAATGGCTACATTACATTGCAGTCATTATGAAGTCAAATCATGTACGGTAATATAACAAAACAAACCATCACAATATTGTGTTGAGAATAATACTGATGTGCCAAGTGTTAAATTGATTCTACTTGCATAACATATTTCAACATTTTACATAAAGACTGAATTACAAGCACATCTGTTAAATCTATAGTATTTTTCTATTTGCAAATTATGCAAGAATCATGCCCTATACGGTACTTTTGTCATGTCTGAGCATTAGCCTTTAAAAATGTTCGCTTTTTTCCATCAATATTATAACCTGACAACAGCCAGATGCATGAGCGAGACATGCATCTGGCTGTTGTCAGGTTATCAATATTATGCAATATGCACGAATTTTTCAAATGAGAAAAACACTAAAAAAACGACATCCACTTAATTACATTGACATTTCACAGTGAATTATTTTCTATTTACTCTATTTTCTAACGTTGGACATAATGTCAATGGCTAACTGACATTATCTTGGAGTCAGTCAAAGATAGCCAGACTAATGTTACACTACATACTAAAGGGACATCAGCATATATGCAGTCAAATGCTACACATGAGTGGGGCGTACCAATATGCCGGCTGGTGGCTTCACTTTTTTAGGGAAATCAGCAACCCAGTGAATAAATAGAGATCAGTGGTTTCCACACATTGCAAACTGTATTGATATTTTCACCCAGTACTGACAACTGCTGGACTTTAAAAGCCCTACATGCAGCCTATTTGACAGAATAAACTGATTTGATGACTTGATAATTGTACAATATACCGGTAAGTCATTTTATTTTCATTTATTTTATTCGTAAAAAAAAATTAGGTGAGCATGGGAATGCTTTAAAATTATTTTAAACTACTGTAGACTAAACCTAAATTCTGATGACTTGAGTGATAACAGAGGAACAGGAAAACTAAAACACAAGATCTAAATGGTCAAACATTTTTGTCTTGAGGCTGCTCCATATTTCTTGATTCATTTGTTGAAGAATCGCAAAAGATCCTATTTTCTTCAGCAGACAGTGCGCTTATAAAAAGTTCAGTGCATCAGTCAGTTCCTAACAGCTCACAGTCATGTGACATGGTGTTGCTTTATCAGCTTGACACATGCATCGGTGTTCCTGGACGAGATTTGCAGGGGATACTTTTCATTTCTAGACACCTGTTAGAGTTGAATTTAAACATCTGCAAGATGTTAACCTGTGACTGAAAATGGGCAAAAACTCCAGCTTTATTGGCCACATCTGCACTGATGAACATGGCTATTTGGGCAGGTTGCATTCAGACTTTCATCTGGACAGGAGGATTACAAGTGCATCTCTCTGATGGTCAATATATTTTTTTCCTCAACAGTTCAATTACAAATATAAAACAAAATGACAGAATTTCTGTTTTCTCAGAACTACAGCTCTGGAGCAGGCTGGATTTTGTTTGGGAAACAGAATCCAATAGATACGGAAGAGGATTAGGGCCACTGGGGAAAAAAAAGTTTACCGATTTTAAATTTTTATTTAGTAGTTAGTCAGAATTCTGACTTTTTTTAATTGTCAACATTCTGAGAAAAATGTCAGACTTTCTACTTCTATTTACAAAGAGGATTAGGGCCACTGAAAAAAAAAAAGTTTGCTGATTTTTAAATTTTTATTTCAGTTTAGTATGGGAAAAAAGTCTGAGTTGAAGCTTATAAACCATTAAGGCGCCACAAGGAGATGAAGCCATTTTTACATTGATCTTTATTTAATCATTGCCATGAAAAAAACAAACAAATATCATAAAAATAGAATGCAGTACAAACAGAACTCTGCCTGCTAAGATCGGATCAGTTCTGGCCTGCTCGTGAATCCGCTTTGAGCGTCGGAGTAGTTCATATAGATGAAGACTGAGCTAACAGGCTCTGCATATGGAGCGAGTATCCAGGATACTGAAGGAGGAAGATTAAAGGAATGTAACATCAGGTGGAGTGCACCAAGTCAGAACATCAGGTTCTGTTTGCAACCAGTGGCAGCAGAATCCATACAGCCTCCCACTGCTAAAATAAACAAAAATCAACTGATTCACCTAAACCTCCATACCCTGAACATGGACGTAGAAAAAGGCACAGGTATGGAGCGTTGGTCTCTAAAACCCCTCAGCAGCCAACAGCTGCTGTAGCACCAGGAAACATGACAACATTTTCAAACAACAGAAGAAGAATGTTAGAGTGGAAAATAAAAGGAGAACTACTATAATTTTTTTTTTGGGGGGGGGTGGGGGGAGCATGACTGCAAAGACCGAAGTGCTGGGAGTGAACCGTTGCAGGTCGCTTGAAGGTGGACCATCCATCTGCCTCCACCTTCTCAGATTTTAGAGTCCGAATTGTATGCAGCCAGTCTGCTGGTAGTCGAGATGTTTTGTGCGACCTCCTCCTGAATGGAACCCTCCCAGGAGTTTCAGCTGGATGCCAACTGGGGGGGCGGGGCTTCTTAGATTGTTCGGGGGTTATACTCCGGCAGCTTCTTCAGTTTCTCCCTGTCCTGATCGGTGTCTTGTCTGGCGATGACCAGTGAATGGGAGTAACCCATCACCACCTGAGAAAACATTTTAAAACAGCACATTTTAAAACTGATCACCCTACACGGTTAATTCAGTAATTCCTTTTGACTTTACTTCCTCTACAATATTTTTACTACCAATATGAGATTAAAGGTAAAGTGCAGGATGTTATTTTTCTGGGTGGATCATCTAAATAAGTGGTCCTCCATAACTGTCAATCATTCTGGTGATATGTTTACATAAGGCTGCCCTACGTGCTCGTCCTGTCAGCCATCTGTGCATGCGCACCTTCAGGCGTATATCTGTGGTGAGCTACGGTTTCAGAGTCATTGAAGCTCACCTTTCCACACAAAGCATTTTGGGATTTGCTGTGGCACAGGCATTGCGCAGTGGAGGAGCAAAAAGCAGTGATCATCTGTCCGAACTGTGAGTTAACTAAGTTCACTATAAATTCCACTATATAGTCCCCGCTCTATATAGCGATTGAGGGATTTAGGGTGGACGTTCGGAGACAGTGAGCACGTATGAGCTATGAGAACAGCACATTTTAACAGAGTGCGCACGAGGAGAAATGGGCTCTTGCACGCACTTTTTTTATATTTGCGAAAATCCTCGTTTTAAAAACCTTTTAGCATATTTTTTGGGTAAGACATTCATACACACAGGCTCTTGGCTAAGTGTGAGTCTTTTGGAGCGGCTCTATGCCATCATTTGAGCATCAGGTTCTAAAAGTTAAGTTTTAGTTTTAAGGAACCAGAGAAGCCCAGCTCTGAAGTTGGCATCAGAGAGGTTGCATTTGGACTTCTCTGCGTAGCGCCATAAACAAAGTTAATCAGTGCTGTGATTGGTGGATGCTCAGTGGGATTAGCCAACACTGTTCATGGGAACATTTATAGTTTTTCTGCATACTTTGTAAGAAGTCTCTTGATCATTCTCTGATCTGCTTAATCCGGTTTTAATTTGTGGGTCAACAAACACTGTAAACCCAAATGTTAAAACTAATGAGGAATAAAAACTCCTAATTTTTTTAAAACTTTGCCCAAGCAAAGGTGCCGTTGTAGTATAACATGTTCTTGTTTTCAGAGTGAATTTAACTCAAAGTCAAAATATATTGAAGGTGTGACAAAAAAAAATTACCACCAAGTCAAATTGTGTTGGTTACATTTTACTGCCTCAATGGCCTTAATTTGAGTTAATTCAATTTACTACTTTTTGGTCTAAAATTGATCAGTTATTTTAAAAGTGTCTGAAGCTTCATCTCCTGTTCTGGCCTTCAGTCCTGGGATTAGAGGGATAGTCTGGCGTTGAGGCCTCCCTCCGCCTCTGTTCATGTACCTGCTCGATGTAGATGCCGTCCAGAGTCTTAACTTCCTGAGCAGTAGTGGATGATTTGGGTTTGTTGTCTCCGTATCCCTGAAGGTCAGAAGAACAAAAGTCAGTTCAGCATCTCCCTGACTCACAGCACCACAGCAACCATGATGATCAGTTTTACCAGCTCTCCAGATGTGGGCGAGGGGCCCCAGCTGATTGTGCTCTCATCTGCTGCAACAATGATGCTGCTTTTTCTGTAAACAACACAAAGGGACTTCAGATCCTGAGGAAGAGCGGGCGCCGCCTCCTGGAGCAGCTAGAGAAGAAGCTGGACTCACCCGCAAGCCAAGCTACGGATCTTCCAACCACACAGGTCCTGCACCGCTTTGGGGTACATGGTGGACTCCCTGGCGGTGTTAGTCACCCCCCAGAAAAACAGCCCCCCTGTAAGACAGCAAACAGTCGGTCAGTAAAGCGCCTCTTTGGCTGCAGGACGGGTCTCAATGAACTCTGCTTTTCTCACCCATCTCGTTGATGGCGAAGGAACACTGATAACCGGCGAAGATCTGAGCGGCGCCGCGTCCTGGGAAATCAAAGAGCTTTACAAGTCGGGGGACCATCTCATCCTTCTGCTCCGTGTGACCCAGACGGCCGTAACCTCCAAACCCCCAGCTGAAGACTCGCTTCTGAGAGTCCAACACCAGCTGCGCACACAGGGAACATGAAGTGTCAGAGCAATGGCATACGCCGGC